TTATCTATATGATTAACCTCAGTTAGAAAAAAAATTTGATCAGCCTCGACATTTTCTACAACACTGTTTGATCTCCAAATTAAAATCCTCTGGTGCAGAGTTGAGGGGACTGCCCCTACACCATTGATCCACTCTTGACCAAGAAATAAATTATATTTTGATTTAGTAGAAATAACCATATATAATGTTGGTCTTATAGTCGTACCTACAATAATATCGACATGAATAACTCATAAAGCTTTATTTATTTTGCCTTCTTAGTTAGACAGAACCATATTATGTGGCCTTAGATCAGTATCATACACGTCAATTTTCTTTAATAAAGAATATGGCGTCAAGTTAATCGATTTCCTTTATCTACCAGAAATTTGTTAACACCTACATTATCAACCTTAGCCCTGATGAAAAGGGGCTTTGGGCGCCATTTCATCCCTTCGTCGTGCCTTTCGAAAATGGCCTTTTCTTCCTATACACATCCATTATTCATTACATAATAACATAAGGGCTTATAAATTATCATTTTTGCAGCAAAGCCATTATCTTCTTCTTTAGTTACCTTAGTAATTTGGTCAAATTCTATGGGTAGAACAGAGATCATATTGCATATTATATCTAGTTCACCTTCCGCCCCAGAATCAAAATTATCAGTCAACATGTTATCATCTTCATTTTGCACGGTGCCCTTCATGTTGGATTCAACTATTGCTGGTAAAGGAGGAAACAATATTTCTCTCATAGGTTTCTTCTCCATCTGAACTTTTATCATCGCCAAAGAACTACCATTCTTCCTCAAATCTACAGCCTCAAAGGCAACCTTCTTTATGTGTTAGTCCCTTCTCCACTGGGTCCTGGTCATAGCTTTGTTGATCAGGTAATTCTTAGACGCGTATGAATATTTCTTTGGCACTTGTGAGTTATCACGGTACGATAAGCCCGAACTAAGAGTAACATTAGTAGGTGGAACATGTGTCATGTTCTGGTATGTCTTGGAGGAAACTCATCTTTTGTCGAAAGCAAATCGGGTCCTTCTGTCGTCTCGACCAACCTTTCTTGGTTGTTGAGGCTTGATCTTTTCAAAGTCTTTAGAAGCCTCTATGTCGAACACTACACTCCAGCGAGGACATAACATTACTTCAAAGCCTTTAATATTGCCCTAGTTCAGGAAGTCAATCAACTATTCCTCATCCTGAAGGTAAACCAACTTCATTTTCTCTGTGTAGTCCAGGATGCTCACTTCTTTGACATTCATGTCGAGACCTTCAGCAGTGTCGAACATCATAATTTCTACAGGTTTGATGAAGTGTGCTTCATCAATTTACAGAGGATCTGAATCGATTATCATTAGTGGCTTCTATTTGTCCCCAAACTTTATCTTACCATCTTTTAAAGAACTTTTCCAAATCCCTAAAAAGAATACATTAAGAAGTTTTATGACCAAGAAAATTATGATATTTACAAAAAATATCGTTTTTCCTTTCTTCTAATGTGGCGTCTTTAGGCCTTTCCGAACTATGGTTTGGCCATCAACAACTAGGAGATGAAAAATTTCGTTACATTAGGTTAAATAAAATGTAAAAGTTTTTGTAATAAATTTCTCGTTTTTATTTGGTTTGACGGGATTTTTTCCGCCTAAAGGTCTTAAAACCTTACAAACATATGGAGATCTTGGCTTTAATTCAGCCAGATTAACCTTACTTTCTTCAACACATTCAAAAAATATATTAATTTCTTGATAAATTTCGTCTATTTTTACATAAGCAACTTTTTCCTTCCTAGGGTGTCGATTTGATGTAGCCTTCCCAACCTTCAATTATTCGACTTGTCGAACCCTGTCTGTTAATTAGGTCAGTCCCTTAGGTATTGGGTATCTAACTTCTTCCTAATTGAATAATATAAGTCAGCTGCAACCATCTCGACTAACTCATGCTCAATCACTTAAGTAAAACATCCCACCTTCATTAACCTAAACCTATTGAGATAATCATCTATTGACTCGGAGAATTTCACACTGCCTAATTCTTTCAGGCTAATTTCTAACTGACCGATATAGAATTTCTCATAGAATTTCTAGTTAATTCCAATTGTATATAGAGTTTGGAGGAATGGTGGTGAACCATGTGAAAGTGCTTTTAGTTAAGGAATTTGGGAAATATTTCATTTTTAAGATTTTGTTATTGGCCAGATCGCCTGCCTCTGATTGATATCAAGCAATATGTTCGACTGTAGATTCACTAGTATCGCCTGCAAACTTAGTGAACTTAGATATTTTCCAACCCCTTGGGAGTTCAGTTTTCAATACATACTCAAACAACGTAGAAACAAAATTTAGTCTCTGAAGACCAACACTAAGACCAATTTGCGCTAAGATTTATTCAACTACATTGGCTATGTTATTTTTCCCCCCAAATGTGTTTTGTTGGACTCTTCTAACCACTTGGTCTGCATCCTGGTTCCTGTTAACTAATACTACCTCTGGGCCATTTTGACCTAAATCTTATTCGATTACCCTAAGTATGAGATGTCCGACCGACTGGCTCATAACCTGTTGTTGCACTTGAACATTATGAAAACCTTCACTGTTTGCAACTCTTGGATTTTGAATTGCCCCCAACTGGTTGGATTTGAGGAAATGGTTGAATATGCGCTTGGGAAGCACCAAAGAAATCACAAATTGGACCCATTTGGTGTGTTAATTATTGGTAAGTATGATTTGTGTTTTGTATTAGATAATGAGACGCAATAAAAATTTGTTGGGTCAACATATGGGTCATATCATGGTTGCTTTCATTCATTTGTTGGCTCATGGTCATGAGGGAACTCGTAATTAAGGGTGGCATAACCCGAGGGATATATCCTAATCCTTCTTAATATTTTGCCATTCGACTGGGTTGCTTATAGCAGATTCTGATACTAAGTATTATTAAGAGGAGATGCAATAACATTGCATTATCTACATACATATATGTATTAGGTTGTAGGCTTGCCATCATTGCAGTTAGCATGCCATATGGATATTCCTTACTACCAAGGGTAGCATAAATCATAGGAGGAAAGAAGTCATAGAGTCTCCTATAGTAGTTTGTGTAACCTCGGGAGTAGTTGGAAAACTAGTTGATTATTGTGGGGGACCACCACTTCTAGTTATATCATCGAAACTGACATTTAATTTAAAACATGAGTGGTTACTCCAACGGACGTTGAAGTTCCTGCACCACAAGCCATTGATTCGATTGGTTATTCTTCTACGTTTGAAGCATCGTTCTGGAGAGAGAAAGGATTTTTCGATGATTGACAAGCCATCTCAAGAATTTTACCACTCCTCTGAACCATAAATGCTCAGACATTGAAAACATTACATGTATGAAGAGAGAAAACGCACAATAAAGGCACAAACACTTTTCTGCAAAAGTTTAAATTTCTTGCACAAAAGGGTCTCATTAGGCGTGCCAATTTGTTTACTGATATTTTTAGTAGACAAATCACAAGTTTTAGTTCACTTAAGGGATTAAACTCAAAAAAATCCTAAGGACAATTTTTGCAAAAGTCTGAAAAAATGTATTTGTGCTTGATAACTTAACGTTTGAATGTATAACAACTAGATAGAAATTTCAAGAAATAAATGTAAAATTGCTTGAAAGATAAAGTAAATAAAAGAAACTGATAAAGACAATAGAGTAAAAAAAGTTAAATTAAAAGTGAGATGCAAGTTCATACATTTCTCACAAATTCCTTTATTTATGTAATTCAGGTGTTTGAATTCTATCGATAACACCAATGAAAAATGCAAACTCTTATCTCAAAGACGAAATATACTTATATACTAAGTATATACATCAATAACTGTCAGCAACGGTCAACTCCCCAACATTCGACACATATACTATTACATGTACCTTTGTCTTCTGCTTTGCTTCCACGTGTCTTCAGTTCTTAAATCACTGCAAAAACCCACTACTGTTATCTGTTGGGTGCAAGTGTGAGTGGTTAAAGTTCCACATTGCTTATGAATGGGTGGAATGGTAAATTTATAAGGGAGATGACTCATTTATCTAACACCTTAAGATTTTGGGTTGAGATGTGGCGTCTCACTCTCTTGTGGTCCTGGAGCATTGATCTCATTGATGCTCTCGACTTTTCCAAACTCCCCAACACTATCAAGAGACAACTTCAAGTTTTTCGACTACCTCTATCAAGAGTCAATTTGTTCCCATCGAAGCTTTGTAATTTTAACGTCCGAACGTGATTTAACTATCTATATTTTAGTTGTATATTTCACACTTCATTCTTATAAAATTTGTTTGAGTCAAAAATCACATGCTAACACTTCATTCTTATAAAATTTGTTTGAGTCAAAAATCACATGCTAACAAATGTACCGTTGATATTTGACACATAACATGTTATTAAATTGCAATTAATTTAATGGTGTTTGTTGTGTTTATTTACAAATTCAAAACAAAATTTCAAAATTTAAAATTTTATGGGTGTGAAAAAGAGTCTCTAAAACATATACTATGTGATACCAAAGAAACACATAATGTGAACACTATAATGTAGTATGTCCTAACTGATACGGCGCTGGAGTGGGCCTGCCCTAAGACCAAAGTCTCAAACCCGTAAATTTAGTTTGCCCATCAAATAAATATTAATTTTTGTACTACACAATTAAATAGGTAACATCAAAAAACAATGGAATGCATTTAATATTACTATACCCAAAAAAAAAGTTTATAAATATCTATCTATATACAAAATTTAATATACCAATGTCACTCTTTTTATAATAATAGCAAAACAAAAAGTGTCCCCACAGTGTAGATCGCAAGAATTTAAAAATGACTTTATTTCAATAAAGTGATTTTACCCTAAGCTAAACAAGAAAAAGAGAATAGTACTACTGCTATTGCTAGTAGCTCCTTGTGAGAGAGAATCTTAGATAAAAGGACACTCACTCCCCTTAATATCTTTACCTTTGTGCTCCTCAAAAACAGAGTGTGAAAATGGCTTGGAGCTCCACAAGAATGAAATGGGTCTTCATGTTTGTGCCTCTATTCTTGTTTCATCTGGCTTTCACAACCGCCACAGAAGACGGTAATGTCTCTCTTCTTTCTTTTTTCTTTGCTGAGATCTGATATCAAATTTGCTTGTTTTGCATATAATTTGTGTGTTTTTCTATTCTAGATAGCTCTAAGTTTTTCTGGGTATGGAAACATCTTTAGCTTTTTTGTTTCTACTAGGTGATTGTACCTCTTTGTTTTTACTAGCTTAAGATAATGTTGTAAAATTTGTGAAACCTTAAAATCATTGTAAATGTTCTGTCTAGGTTGTTTTGTTCAACTTTATTTAAGGTTTCAAGCTTCTACATGAAGTGAAACTAGCACTATCATTTTCCATCATGATTTTTAACACTATCTTTGTGCTGTTTTTTTTTGTTTTCAACTGACTCAATGTTTTAATTTCATTTCTCCTTAAACCAGTATCAGGAGTAGAGTTAAAAAATGTACCTAGAAAAGGACTGAAGATTAAAATTAAGAATACTATTGAAAATTTTGTACTGGGGCTGTAGTAGTGTTCAACATATAGTACTATAATTGTAATAAAAAGTATTTTTCTAATTTAAACTTATAAATAAATAAATAAAAGCCTTGGATGTTTATATGCAACTGATTTTCTTAGTATGACCAAATTCCTAGTCCTAATTTTATACGTCCCACCTTGTTTTTTGTACAAAACTGCAGATGAAAGTGATATATCTACCCATTTAGTAACAACTCTATAGTAAAATACAAGACAGAAAAGAAATATTTGTTTTATAAACTATTATCATAATAAGTTTAGTTAACAGAAAGAATAGTTCAAATAATATAACTACCTTTTCTATTATATACAAAACTTAAACAGAATTAACCAACTTCTTAGATAAGTGTTGATAATTTTTCTACATATAATATTAATAAATTGAACGTCATTAACAAAGATCAAATTCTAGTATTTATTTATATGAGTTTTTAGTGATTATTATTATTTCGTTTAAAATATGTGTCCGACAAAAAATAATTTTATATAAATTTTGTTTTAGATAATTTTTTCGTTAGTTTAAAATCACCCGCAAAAAAACATCACTATCCTACAATAATTGATAAAGTGAAAGGATAAAAAAACTTTTAACATAAAAAAAAAAATGATGATCAAAATAGTGAAGTAGCTTATTATAGGAAGGGCATAATATGGTTGGTAAGCCGTAAACATATGGGTCCCAATCCAAAGACTTTTTCGCATCCTAGGGATATGAAAATGGTAAAATGACGTTATTGCCACAGTGTTCCCGCTTCTCAATACTTGCTTTTTCCCCCTCTAATCTTGAGCAAAGTGCAAGGACCTTTCCGTAAAGTGCTTCAAGCTCCCCATTATTTTGGTTTTATGTCACCTAAAAGTGCTAAACCCTAAACTAAATTCCCATGCTCAAGCCATATTCTTGTTAATAGAGTATATTTCTTTTTACTATTCAAAACAAATCATGTTAATTTTGAGTTTTTTCATCATTAATCAGATAAAACGAAAGTTTTGAAAAATTAAGTGACAAATAATTTTTTTTTAAAGTGGAAAGACTAAAATAAAATTGAGTAGTGAGTGAGGGCATGTGTTGGGACCCACGCGATGAACGCGGGATTGTACAAGAGCTCAATTTGTTTGCTATCAACATCATTTTTTGTCGTGTTTTTCTTCATTCGAATCTTTTCCACCTATTTTCTGTTTGTTTCTTCCTGTATGTCATTTTTCAATGCTGTCTTATTTTGTTCTTATTTTTCGTTTCCTATTCTTCGCAAGTTGGCATGCATTGAGACATTTTTTGAACTGGTGCTTATTTTGTTCCATAATTTATTGCTCCAATGTGGCCTTTGAGACATATTATTTGGATAAGGTAATCTAAATTTCAATAGTTGGTTTATTACTGTTTTTGTTTTCAAAGAAGGGTCAAATAATAAATTTGAATTGAATTATCACTTTTGGTTTGAATTGCATTTGGTTTGGTTTTGGTTTGGGGCATTTGTTTGTGGACAAAACTTTGACATTGATTCTGCTGATGTCTCTTATATACTGAAAATTTCTTCAGCGCAAAATGTGGTCCTGCGCAGATCATAATTGTTTTATTGTCTTACTATTATGTCGTTTTATACTAATGTATTGTTTTCTTACTATGCGTGATGCTTTTTTATTTTGTGTTATGCTACATGTGTGAATTAATAATTTATATTGAGTTTTATTGTACTACTTTTTTTAGGGAGAGTTATTGTGTGATTGACTAGAACAGTAACGGTAACTAATTAAAAATTGTTAATTTTATTAATCGTTAATTGGTTCAGTGGTGATTGACGTTGAATTTAGTAAGGAGAATCACCGTTCGTTTCCCACAACTTCGATCTGAATGGTGGTGTATCCATCACCTGGATTTCAATTGAGTCTTTGTTAATGTAGAATGAGATTGATCCTCCAAATTAAACTATCTTAATTTAATACTGAATTTTTATAAGAACATGCCCATAAACTAATTGTTTTTAAAAATTGACTAGGTTTAATTCAAAATTGATGCATACACTAAAGCTATTACTTGATTTGGTGGAATAAGTTCAAATAAAATAAATTTATGTTCAATGAAATGAAAAGTAGGGGTGGTTCTAACTGTTTTAGTTCCCCTTTTAAAAGCCTAAAAAAATAGTTTTAAAATTTTGACCTGTTAAAAAAAATAAAAGTGTACAACACATGTTTGCACCCTAAAGGATAAAAAATTGTATAAATTTTTGTTAATTTACGTGTCCACCAATTAAAACGGAGGAGAATGAGAATGAAACCTAAAACCTCGACTTATTTTTAAAAAAACGCATGCAAAATAAACATGCTGGGCAGCCTAAACTATTTTACCACCTAAAATATTAATTATTATTATTATTATTATTATTATTATTATTATTATTATTATTATTATTATTATTATTTATAATACTCAGCATCCTTGATCTGGGATCCTGCTCCGTGGCATACAATACACGAGGAATAAAGGAGTTTTAACAACTGAAATTCACCCTTCAACAAATTATAATGCACCTTAAACTTGTTCTTGTTGCTGCTGAGTAATACTATTTAATAAGTAAAAAAGATTGGAAATAACATCAAATATGAAGCATAAGTTAACTTAGCTGGTAAAGTAGTTGATACCAAATTTTGGTGTATGTCAAGATCACTCAATAATTTCAATAAAATATATTTATATAAATAATAAAGTAAAATAAAAATAAAATTTAAATAATGATATTAAATATTTTTTAATTCACATGGCAAAATCACGGCGCCACAATAACCCTGCCATGTCACAAAACGAGACGCTACATACACAAATTTGAATTTGAAGGAGGAAAAAAATCCAAAAAATATTGAATTGGAAAAAAAACTATTTTTTTTGAATGGATTAAAAAAATTAAAGAAATCATTATAAAAGAATCAAAAGTGTATTTAAGGCTTATCCTAACATAGTCTATCAAATAGTTGAACTTGAAGGGTAAGTTTTCTGAAATAATAGTATTTAACAAGACTCAACTATGGTTGAGGTGGGGTATAGTATATTAATGTATATTGTCCTTTTCACTTTTTCTACTAATCTTTTCAACCAAGTTTATCCTTAGTGCATGGTAGATTCTTATTTTGGAATTGAACCATATTTCACTAGTGGGTCATAGAATCACCTTAATTGTTGCCAAAAAATTGGGGTTTATTATTTTATGATAAAAATTAGGATTCATTTTTTATCTCTAAATAATAAATAACACACTAACATAATCATTTCAAAAATTGAAAATTGACATTATATATTTACATTTAAAATAAAAAAAATCCTACATTGATTATTTACAGGTTTAGTACCAAATGGAGATTTTGAAGCAAGTCCATCCAACGGTTTCCCAAACGAAGCAATAGTAGAGGGACCCATCGAAGTCCCAAACTGGAAATCAAACGGCACCGTTGAGCTAGTGGAATCAGGGCAAAAACAAGGTGGAATGATCCTCATAGTACCACAGGGTAGACACGCAGTAAGAATCGGTAACGACGCTGAAATAAGCCAAGAATTACCGGTAGAAAAAGGTTCAAGTTACTCCATAACGTTCTGTGCAGCTCGCACGTGTGCACAATTTGAATCTATTAATGTGTCGGTGTCGTCCGCATCACAGACGATAGACTTGCAGACACTGTATAATGTTCAGGGTTGGAATCCTTATGCGGTTTCTTTTAATGCGGATGAGGATAGTTTTAAGTTGGTGTTTAAGAATCCGGGCATGGAGGATGATCCTACTTGTGGGCCCATTATTGATAACATTGCTATCAAGAAGCTTTTCACTCCTGATAAGCCCAAAGGTATGTACTTATTATTATTATTATTATTATTTAGTTATTCATGTTTCCGTAGACGAAGTGGTAATAACTCGGGAGCACTTTTAATGTTTTCCTGCAAGGTCATTCAAATTTTTAATGCACTATGTTGAGATTTGCAGACAATGCAGTAATTAATGGTGACTTTGAAGAAGGTCCATGGATGTTTCGAAACACGTCAATGGGGGTCCTACTTCCAACAAACCTAGACGAAGAAACTTCGTCGCTCCCAGGTTGGATAGTCGAATCAAACCGAGCCGTTCGCTATATTGATTCCGATCATTACGCGATTCCTCAAGGACGGAGAGCCATTGAGCTTCTCTCAGGAAAAGAAGGTATCATATCTCAAATGGTTGAAACCAAACCTGAAAAGCCATATACCTTAACTTTTTCATTAGGCCATGCTGATGACAAATGCAAAGAGCCTCTTGCTGTTATGGCCTTTGCTGGTGACCAAACTCAGAACATTCATTACACGCCGAATTCGAATTCTACCTTTCAGGTTTCTAACCTCAATTTCACTGCCAAAGCTGATATGACTAGAATTGCTTTCTATAGTGTTTACTACAATACTAGAAGTGATGATATGACCTCTCTTTGTGGCCCTGTTGTGGATGATGTGAGGGTTTGGTTTTCTAGGTCTAGCAGGCTTCGCGGGCTGGGCTTTGTAAGACTTGGGCTTGGGATTTTGGGTTTAGTGTTGGTTCTTGTTTAAAAGGAGTTCATTATGTTATGGTTTCTTTAATGTTATTACTACTAAGCTTGATAGGTTCTTTTGTATTTGGGGTGTAGGTGAAGTCACATTCTCCAAAATTGTTGTATTGTGAACTAATGTTAAGTTTATATAGTTTATGCTATATTTAAAATTAAAAATGAAAATGTGTTGCTGCATGTGTCATTTGTCATTAGTTTTATTTGTAATGGCATTAAAACAATGTTATCTAGTTGTAGTAGATAACATAATCTCATAAATATGTGATTAAAATAAGGAAAATATTAATGTGTTTCAAAATCCCAAATTAATGAATTATTTGTAGAAATATTTTTTTGAAATACGTGTATTTAATATTTTGAAATTTTAAATACAATTTTATTATACTTAAATTCTTTTATTTAATGATAATATTCCATGTATTTTTAAAATAAAAATAGCGGTTTTCTATGAAAAGAGAAGATAGAGTTGTGGTATTTGTGAAAAGAAGGAGAATTTTTTATTGTAGTGGGTGATGGTGTGGGTCAAGATAGATTATTGGAATGCGTTTTTGTTTGTATTGTTGAAAATGGCCTTGGCAGCAGAAATATGAAATTAGGTGCCCTACTCAGGTTGAGTATTTTATCTATTATGGTTTATGATGTGAAAAGCATAGACAAAAGAGATGCTATGGTGTGTATGTGATTTGACAATTAAGGTGTACTTTTTTATTCATTCTACCACATAATTGAATTTTTATCTTCAACCTTTTGTGGAAATATGAGAGTTGTGGTTTAGGTTTTTGGTTATTCTATTCATTTTTTATTTATGTGTATTTGATTTTTTGTTTTTGTTTTGATTCTTAGATTCGTTCGTTAATGGATTATGTTTTGAGTTTGTTATGAATTTGTTGGATTTTAATAATTATAAAGATCTATCTTTTGCATTTATGTTATCACATCTTTTAGTATTTTAGAGTTGAACATAGAAAGAAGGGTTTAGGCATCTTAGTGGTAATCTTAAAGAGACAGCGGTAAATTTTTAAGAGTGTGTTTTTGTAATTTGAGAAACCTTGTGATATCTGAGAGATTGAGAAATATTTTTAAACACTTTGAATTTGTGTGATTTATATATAGAGTTAGAGAGATTAAGAAACATTTGGGTAGAATACATGATTTGTTCTTGAGAACTTAAATGATTATTTTCTTGCAAGTCATTTGTTATTGTAACTTACATGTTATTGTGTTTATTGTCTTTACTTTGTCTTCTCCTCTCAAGTTAAATTGTTATCTTATTGCATAAAAAGTTATTTTTTCTTAAAGACTATTTATTTTGATTGTCATTGTTCTTTGTCCTCATACATCGAATTTCTTGGTGTGATTGAACCTTTTAATATCACAACAAATGGTTTCTATCACGGGGCAAAAAAAATTTGTTTACAAGTGAATACCATGTGTTCCAAATGGCGGATCAAGAGGTTTTCCGAAGACGATTTTAGATTATGGAAAGTAAAGATGTAAATCGTAACATCCTAAAATCCCGGCTCTTTATTTATAAAAGATAAATAAATAATTTCTCGAATATAGGTGTTACACATGCTCAATATATATTTTCAACAACATCATAATAAGAAATAGCAGCGTAATTCAAAGATTAGTCATACTTAATTGTCTCAATAAAATAAAGTGTTTCATATATTTAAATAACTCAAACTTCAAAAACGCAAAATAAACAACAATGATTTTCGTCGCAGTGTTACATATCAGAGCTTCAACAAAACTACATAACGCGGAAAATTTTAAATAAATGAAGAGGCCTCAACGCCATCCTCCAACTCAAACAGCAGGTACTCATCTACCTCATTATTTGTACTCCAAGCGAGTATAGAACACCACAAACAAAACAAACAGGGGTGAGAAATTCGTTCATAATGTTAACAGTATAATAAACAGTTAGGATAGTGTAATACATAACATTCACCAACACATGAATAATTCATAACAACAACAATCAATTCATGATGCAAATATGCATACAATGCAACTGAATCTTTGACTCTAATGTATGTGGTACCAATCCTGGACATCAGAGTTATATTACTAATTTCGTCCACTCACTGATGGTTCCCCTTCAAACCCCGACTCATAACTGGTCTCCTCTTCTGAATCAGAGACACACTATTGGACCGAGGTTCGTACATCTATCACAGACACATGTGATGCATGATATGCAATAATAACATACATGTGCAACAATCACCATTGGTTCTTCTTCGAGCCATAAACATCGCCCAATAACGCCAACACAACAGTTTTTATCTAACTACACTTTTCAACACATGCATATAATTATACCTCAACAATATATTTGTAATCACAACTCAACAACATATAATTATATATACAACACACCAACAGGGAAAACATCAATGTATATGCTCATTGCTAAACAATACTCATCAATAGATTAAACATATTATTTCTTATGTAAGCTCATCAATAGGGTAAAAATAATATCCTACAACTCTTACACTTAACAAAGTCAACTCATAACCCTTCAGATAACTCATTACAATATATTATTATTTACCTTCAACTCTAACATTGTCAATAAGACTCTAGACTCATTAAGTATCTTTAAATCCAACTCTAGACAAGTTAAATGACTCAGAACTCAACCTTCTTGATTCAACTCGATCAATCATATGATTAGAACTCTTTCATCATTAATAACTATTAAATTATTCAGGATTTATCTCTTCATTATTATTCATTTATAAACACTGGTTAACATATTATATTCACATATTTGCATGCACACTTAACCTCTTAAGACATTACCATGAGGTAGTATTACACATTAGCTTTTCAATGCTTCGAATAGTGCCTCAAATGGAGTTACAGAACTCAAGTTACGCGATAAACAATATGACTGAGACGAAATAAAAAAAGACTCGAAACTCGTCGGAATGACCCAGCCGACCACCGCAGCCGTCGGTTGGACCATCGTTGTTGACTAGTTTCCTTCGCACTATCCGATTTTTTGACTTTCGATTTTTTGGCCCGATTCCTATAGTACTCGGTTTGTGACTTTTCGACATTTTATGACTTTTCGACTTTTTCGTAGAATACCTGATTGTCCAACTTTTTGACTTTTTATGACTATTTGACTTTTTTGGTCTGATTTTGCACAGTACCCGATATTCCAACTTTTTGAATTTTTGAATTTTTCATGATTTTCCCACCAAAATACAGATCAACAGCCACAAACAAATTATACACAATTATCCAATTTTTACACTTTAGCCAAAAGGCATAACCACATTTCATCATTTAACACTAAAGCATCAACAAAGCATCAATAAGGCAAAACAGTTTATAGATTATACTGTTGTGAAAACGATGCCAAAAACAAAGTATAATAAGTTTCTTTAAGGCAAGAAACCCACAGGTATGAATCAGGAAAGCAAGAAGAACACAACGAATTGTTATAAATTCTATTATTTACTTTCTCTTTAAAAAAGATTACAAGTACACAAGAATAACAAATAACCCTCTCACCCTAAATTAGGGTTTATTGTGCGCAATGATGAAAGACTAGTATGTTATTTATAATAAACCTTACATACTAAACTAATGGTTTTTTTTCCAAATACCCATTACAAGCTAACTTAGGGTACAAGCTAACTTAAACAATTGGACATAACAAACAGGCCAAATTCAACATGCTAACAAACTTAGCATTATCGACATCTACATAGTATAACACATTTTAACTATAGCATGTAGGTCTTCAACAACAGCATATGAGCATACTTTGACGGCATGCTAAACTCCTGTCAAATTTTCGAACAAAGAAGCTACCCTCGACCAGACTAGAGTTTAATCCAATATATCACAAATCTCTACCTTGGAACAAACTCTAACATGAAAGGAACAAACTAGCTTTCTTCATGCAGTTTTATCAACTGCATACAGTGGAAAAACTTGTAACTTGGAAATGCCTTGATGATCATATCAGCAACATTGTGATCTGTTGAAACCTTCAACACTTGGACTTCTCCACGCTCGATTACCCCTCTAATGAAATGCAGCCTCACACCAATGTGCTTGGTTTGCTCATGATAGGCAGAATTCTTCTACAGATGTATTGCACTTTGACTATCACATTTAATAGTGATAACTTGACCTTGAAGTTTCAACTCCTTAGCAAAACCTTCAAGCCACAATTCTTCTTTCACAACTTCAGTGAGGGCGATATATTCCGCTTCAGTGGTTGATAAGGCTACAACCTTCTAAAGTGTTGCTTTCCAACTAATTGTTATGCCAAATATAATGAAAACATATCCAGAAATAGATTTTCTAGAATCCATACAACTTGCATAATCAGAGTCAACGTATCCTTTGATTACTGCTTTACTATCTTCACCCAAGGCTACACCATAAATTAGGACTATGTTCAAAAACCCATTTATGTACCTTAGAATCCACTTCAATGCTTTCCAGTGAGCCTTTCCAGAATTCGCCATGTACCTGCTTACAAGACTTACTGCATATGTTATGTCGGGTCTAGTACAAACCATAAAATACATCAAAGAACCTACTATATTAGCATATGGGATGCTATTCATATAAGATCTTTTGACATCAGTACTAGGACACTGATCTATACTTAGCTTGAATTGAGGGTTTGTTGGAGTCACAACAGGCTTTGAATTCGACATACCAAACTTGTCGAGAATCTTTCGTAGGTATGCCTCTAGTGATAAGCATAAATCTGACTGCTTTCTATCTCTTCAGATGTCAATCCCAAGAATCCTAGATGCAGCTCCAAGATCCTCTATGTTGAACTCCTTATTGAGTTTAGCATTCACCCTCATTACATGTTCGGCATTGTTTCTTTCTATGAGAATATCATCGACATAAAGCAACATAATAACAAATGAATTATCATGTCGAAATCTGAAGTAAACACAATGGTTGAACTGACTGCTAATGAAACTTATGCATGCCATTAACTTGTCG